TCCTGCTGGACAATGTTGCCCCAAATGCTTAGGTGAGTGATTTTTTTTCTTGGGAATTTTGTAATTAATATGATATGTTTCTGCATAGCATCTTTTATATGGGTATTTCACAATACTCATAAATTCTGGGAGGTGGAAGAGACAGTATTTCTCAGTGAAGTTTATAATCTACAGGTTTAAACAGGTACTTGGGGTCAGTGTGTAGGGTTGTGATGGGTAGTACTAAGCAACCAGCCACAGAAGAGCATTTGAGCATAGACCAGTTGGCTTGTTTAGAGAGACAAATATAGAGATGTTTCCCACCTTCATTACACATGTTTTACAAAGGAGGTTGAGGCGGGCAGAAATATTTCATTGGAATTTGCCACAAGAAAAAAGCCTCACCCTCTCATATTTTTATTCAAGTGTGCATTTGCATTCTTTGTTTTGAGGAAATGCAGGTCAGAGGAAACTTCTGGACTGAAATTGCATTCTTGGAAGCTGTTGTCAGAGAGGCCAGGGACCCAGGAGTCTGCCTCATGGTTGCCTTCTTAAGGTGGAATCACAGTTTCAGCCAGGAATATTTTCAATTATGTCTTTCCAACACATTTTAAAGGAGTAAGTCAGAGGCCTCTAAGAAGGGCTAGTTCTTCCCAGTCATGCCAAGTAAGGCAGTGACTTTTGAGAGTCCTTATTTTGCTCTTACCATGTCCACAGATCCCACAGGTTAATGTTCCTCTGCATGTGTTCCTCTATTTCATAAACAAGGAGCACTTACATCCTACCAAGTAAATTAGCTTTAATTTGGTCTATGAGGTTCTAACCAGGTTTGGAAAATTTTCAGAGCTGATAACTCCCAGTTCTTCAACAGAAACTTTTTGTCATTTTGACTATATCTTTACTACTATCCAAAGCCTGTTTCCAGGGCTAGGTTTAGGGGTACAGAGAGGTCTAGTCTTGGAGGTAGCAAGCCATAGAGAGTTCCAGCTTCTCATAATACTTAACATTTTTGACTGCTTGAAACAAACCTGAATTTATTTATTTATTTATTTGCTAATTGAGAAGCGCTACAGATAAATATCTGCCTGGAACATTTAACCGCAGCACCAGAGAGTAATACAGTAGAGGAATGAAATGGAGAGGAGAACAGTCCAAATACTGAGCTTCTGTTTTGGCTGAGGACTTTTTTCCTTTCCTTCTGTAAACTCCCCTTGTCCTCTCCACCCCATGCTTTTCCCAACTGAACCTTCCCCTCCTTGATCTAGGCATTCAAAACACAGCTTTAATTTTTGACTGCTTCATGGGGATTTTTCTACAGATTCTTATTTCCCTCTTATAAATGCCTGTAAATGAGTTCACTAATACTAATGATTTTCATTTTCTATGATCTTCACTCTAAAGCATGTCATATACCTGTAAATAGATAATGTCTATTCACAGGGAAGTGTTAAAAGTTTTGGAGCAGAGGTAGAGCCAAAGGATGTCTAGCACACTGCATGGCAGTTGGGAAAGAGAAATGTTTTCAGGGATGCTGAGGCATCGTTTTTAAAGTATCATGTGGAGGACCTCCCTGCAATTGAATTCCTGATACTCAGCGTATATAGCTTAGAAGAATGCAGTGGACTCTACTGGGACTTGAATTATTAGTTTAACTAGTGGTTATGAGCCAGCAAAGCCAATCATTAAGCCAATATCTTCACCACCACGTCTTTTAAAGTGGTAGCTCCTTTGTCAGTGGTTTTTTACTAACTATTTGAACTGAGCTGGCCACCTGGAGTTGCACTGGGTGGTTTGCAAGACATGGCAAAATGGTGTGAGAGCGAGCTGGACTTTTATTCACTTGTTGACATAAGTTATGCAGCTGAAGTCCTGGCCTCACATAGAGCAGTGGAAGTGTTGCTACAGGCAGGACTATGGCTAGGCTTTGCCCATAAGTGGTGCATGGATGTAGAGCCATTCCTTTTAGGGCTACTGAGCATCCTCAACTAATTTCTTATGTCAGTCCTGTAAGAGAAATTAAGCCTTTTCAGGAAGACTCACATTCAGTAAAAGGAAGGCTAGTTATGCAGGCACAAATTAGTCCAAGGTAGATAATTTGCAAGAGAGAGATGTTCAAATTGTGTCTAACTGAACAATAGCAATTATTTCTTAACTTTTGCTTAATACTTATTTTAACATTAGATTTGTAAAAACTCAAGGCTAATCCAATGGATTTTGCTGTGTGCTTGCCCTTTGGTTTGCTTATATCTCAGAGGGAAATGGAACCTTTTTCTTTTAAGCTATTCTACATGTATCAAGAATTATTGAAAAGGGAAGGAATGACAGTGTGCCAAGACCTGGGGGTTTGAGAGCTAAAGTATTGGCCTAGTACTTAGTGACTTCTTGTGTGTACTTATAGTGGCCATTCCCTACCTTGGAATTGATGCCTGTTTAACATCAGACCTCAGAAATGATAAGCTGGGAGACTGGCAGCCACTCATAAAAGAACGTATTAGTTGGCTGCCACCAAAAGTAAACAGGGGAAGGTATTCAAAACCAGGAAGATAAGTATAGTGATTTCATGTGAGTTTTTGTAAAGAGCACATGTTTATGTATCATAATGGTCACTTGTTTTAAATAATCTACTAGGAAAGAGGCTGAGGAATAAGAGAAGCTTGCAGAACCACAAAGTGTCTTGCAACTTGGATTGCAGGACTTCAGGAAGGATTTGATATCGATGCTGCTTTCCCTGTATAGTGCTCTAAACCTTGCCTCGTTCTCATGAAACCCAAATATTTTATGGGTTATGGAAACGACATATCTTGTGTTGCCCTCATTCTGCTCATAAACGATGCAAATGCCTGTATTTCTTGCACCCTTGTGTGAACATGGTGCATCAAGCTATCTTAATGAGACCTGACAGCACCTATGTTGTTTTTGCATCAGTGTCACTGAGTTGATTCAGTTTGGCTGCTGTGAACCCCTGAGGTAGATATGCTAAAACCAGTTAAGGCTACTTTATTTGATAAGTTATTGCATTAAGTTAAAGACTGTTTGAACTAGTTTAAGTGTACCTAGCCTAAGAGTTTGCAGTGCTTACTTTTTATTCCTTTAGCTGCACTGTGCACTTTATGATGAGAAGGAGAAGAAAGATTTTTCCAATATAAACACGCCATAAATCATATTTATATTCCCTCCCACGGTAGAGTTTGTACAGATGAATGTGTGCTAGAAGAACAGTGAACTGTTAAAAGTACATATTTTTTTCACACCAAAATGGAAACACATAGCAAATGACACATTGCACATGAATTTGATCTGGTGACAATAAGCCCTACTATTTTTGTTGACAATATGGCATCTTTTCAACCACATTCTGTTTCTATTACTGTTTATTTATATTCAGGACAGAGGAAAGTGTTTGACCTCCCATTTGGAAGCTGCCTCTTTCACAGCAATGTGTATGATAATGGGTCCTCATTTATTTATGACAACTGCACAACGTGTACATGCAAGGTAAGTCCACAGTGCTTTGGTATTGTGCGCTGCTGGTTGTCTGGCTTAGCAGTAACTTGTAGGGCTGTGGAACTGTAAGCCCTGATACTGTTCTTCTTTGGCATCTTGTGTGGTCCCCAAGAATCTGATCTGAAGTGCACGTGCAGTTGTGCTAGGAAAGTTTAAAAAATTACTGACTGCCTCAGCTAAGACATGATGCCTGACTCTGTGTGATGCAAAATGAAGTTACTCAGATTATGTGATCCTCTTTAAGTTTGCATTACAGTGGAAGAGGAGTTTCTAAATGGTGAATTACCACATCTCTGCTGAAGGGCAGTGATTTTTTTTTAGTTCCTCTAACATGACTGTGACCACTTGCACTTTTGCACCTAGGCACAAAAAATGAAAGTGCCACCAAATCAGTAAGATTTTGCAGGCCAATGGAAGTACAAGCTGGGCTTTAGCTTCACAGACCATGAAAGATTCCCTTAATGCAGTAAATAATTTTTATTTTCTCTGAGCTGACCTATTCAAAGCAGTTGGGCTGTAGCTTGGGTGGATGCAATGACTGAGCAAGCAGAAATGTTATGGCAAGGATGCACAGGAACACAAACATCTTGGTGATGATTTAATGATTTCCTTTTGTCCTTTTACCTAGGATTCAACAGTGATATGTAAGAAGAGGTGCTTACTTTCCGGTGAATGCAATAAAAACAAAGACCACTGCTGCAAGGAGTGTGTCTCATATATCTCTCCTGAGGAAGTGAAAGTGTGCAAATTTGGCAATAAGATCTTCCAGGTAAAGTTTCAGATGTGGCTCAAGAATAGATGCCCTTGCAACAGCTGAAACAGCATGAGTTTACTGTAAATTCGTATTGTGGCTTGTTTTTTAGCAGCATCCTCACCATCCTGGTTGATGGTGGAACAACTCAGAGGCAAAGCTTTGCAAAATTTGCCATATGCTATTTTTTTTCTGGGTTTGTATAAATTCTGCTGATACACCGCAGTTAAAGATTAGTTCCTCCTTGACATGGCATGTTGTCTCTCTCTCTGTACGCAGAGATTCAAGCTGCTGTTTCATGACAAGTAATGCATTTATAGTAAGAGAGAGTAATGCTCTGCTTTCCCAAAAAACCACTGATATTAATGGAGAAGATATTCTGAGTGGTCTGTAGGCTTTATCTGCTGAGCCAAAGAGTCTCTTCCATAGCTGAGCCAACAGGAGCTGTGCAAAGTTCATCTTGGCTGGAAGTTACCCATCTTGATTTACTACGTTTCATGTCTCTGCTGAGGACAGGACCCTTGACATCTTATATTGGGATAGCCATGTAATAACTGTTACCTACTGCACTCTCACCCAATATTTTGAAATCACAAGGGATTCCCCGCAGAACACTTCTGCTATTGCTAAGGCCTTGTTTGTTTTTCCAAGTGGTGCAGCTTTTTTCACACTGTGTCAGAAAAAGATTCTGTCACCTCATGGGCCATCTGTGAATTAAAAGACCCTTGAATCAGATCAAATGTTAAATCCGTTGTGAATACTTGGTCTGCTCAGCCAGAATTGCTTCCCGTTTATTCCATCTTTTGTGTACATAGCTGAAGTGTTTATTCTGGAAATTACATGTGAACCTACTGTACGCTGAGACTATACTCCGTCTGATTGGCACTTTCACACTGGTGCTATTGTGCTTCAGGAACAAATGCCTGCTTCTTAGGCACCCAACTAAAATATTCTGCTTCTTGTGAAGATTTTATTATATTACTAAGTATTATATGGAGTAAGAAAAACTAACGAGACAGTACACCCATTTCTGGCTTCGTATGCAAAAAGGTAAATCCAGCGTCGCTCTGTTGAAGTTAATGGTCTAACACAGGTAGAATGGGCACAGTGAATGTTTTTGCACTCCTGTACAAAAGCATCTGTGAGACAAAACATCAGGGTAGCTGCATGCAGTCAGCTGTGATATATTCTGGTACCTTAGCAGATGCTTGGAGAGCAGTCATTAGAGGCCCACAAGAACACGTGCTGCATGAGGAACGCTAGGCAATCGTAACATGGCCTGGAAACAAAAGACAGGGGAGAAACAGCCTTTGACCAAGCATGCTGTGGTGAATAAGTTAGGCTCCTTGGCATTTCAGATATAGTCTGTTTTTCTCTCTGGTCAGAACATCATGTTGAGGTGGGCACGTAATTGTTCACAGCTGTCTGGTTGGACTGCCTGTTCCTGTCAGGTCTATCCTCACCCTTCCTTCACAGCAGCCCTGTAAACAGAAAACATGCACATTTTGGCTCTAAGTGGGCTAGCACAAGACTGTAAGTGGGTGAGACAGAATGTTTTAGGAACCACACTTGGCAAATGCAACACTATGTAAAAAGGAGCCAGGGCAGTTCCACAAGCAATCCTTCCCAAGTAAGTGGGGACAAGACCATGAGGCATATTTTGCTTTGCACCTAATACTTTGAGCTGTACATAGACTGTCTTTGCATTTGAGAAGTTCAGCACTGTATCTCTTCTAAACATTTTCAGATGTTTAGCAGATCAAGTATCTGTGAAAGTGCTGTAAGTAATCTAAATTAGAATTCATTATTTGACCATTCCTGCCCTAAGTCAAAATGATGCTGCATCTGGGAATAAATTCACTATATGCTGACATCTTAATCAAATACTTTCACGTGCAACAACTTAAAGACGTCACTCAACCCAATGAATCAGGTTTTTCTAATTATGTGAGCTTAAATGAAAATTTATGGTAGGTGTGATCACATCTTAGACATATACTGGAGAGAAAACAATGCAAATAATCAGAACACTGGTGAAAAAAACAAATGTGATTTGGTTAGTCTTGGAAAAATGAATTTCTGACCTAGAGGGCCAAAGGGAAGAAAACCCTGCTGAATTTGATCTTTCTCTTTAATCTGACTGTCCATGGACAGACACCTCAAAATAATTTAGACTAAACAATGACACAATGCCAACAGGGAAAGTCATCCTTTCTTGTGCAATGATACATTGCTGAAATAGCTTCCTGTTGCCACCCCAGCTGATACTATATCATGTTCCCTCTTGCAGGATGGAGAGATGTGGTCCTCTGTGAACTGCACCATCTGTGCTTGTGTGAAAGGCAAGACAGAGTGTCGCAAGAAACAGTGCATTCCAGTCAGCAGCTGTCCTCATGTGAGTTTTTTAAAAGAACAGAGCTGTCTTCTCTTTTTTTCTCCACCATTATCTTTCTCAGTGTAAGTGGAAGTGTGTGCATGGCAGTGGAAAAGCAGGGCTCTTCTGGCATATTAATTTAGGCTCGTGTTCCCCAAGTGTGCTACTACTACCCTGAATATGGGCTTCCTGCCTCTGTCTTTGCTCTGAAGACTCTGTGCTCCTTTTCTCCTCCTCCCTTTAACTTTCTCTGTCCCAAGTATCGGCCCCGGAACATCTCTTTCACATGTATTTAATAGCTTTATAGAGTGGTGAGATGACTACGTTAATATTTCAAGAGCATGCATATTGTTAAGGCAAGCCACAGGAGTTTGTTGTACTTGCTTTTTTCAGTGCACATGAGGCTTAATACTTGGTTGAAAATGTAAATTAGACAAAGCAAAGCAAATTATTTCAATCAATCCATGCCGCTTTCTCTAAGGTTGCAGCCTGAGTATTTTTTGTTTGAAAGTCTGAAGTGAACTCAAAGAGTGGTGTAATTGTAACTTTACTTAATTGCTTCAAATATTAGCATTACTTGAAACCTCGAGCTAAAGTCAGCCTTTGTTTGTTGGATTTCTGTCACTGGCAAATTATTTTGTTTTAATGGCTCAAGCTTTCAGAAGAGGGAGCTCTAAATAGCACCTCATGTAGGGGCAGATCTTTGAACAGAACTGCAGAAGAGAGTGCCAAGTCGTTAGTATTACACCTTCTCAGTGTTTCCTTCTCCATTCTGGAAGCCAGTGGGGAAAATATGAGTCACAGACACCTAGGTATAAAATTTTAAATGACAAACTCTAGTTTGTAAAATTTTATACATGTGAACTTTTGACAGCCAGAAGCGGTGGTAGAATACAGAGCCTGTACCTTGGCGCTCCCTGTCTTGCTGTGCCAGTGGGCTCAAGAGCGATGCTTGCACCCTCAGAAGAGGGGACATCCTTTTCCTGTCACTCTGACACTCAGGGCAGAGGGCAGTTCTGTTAACAGGCCTCATGTGAGATGTTGCGTACATCTTGGGAAGTGTGAACAAATGGAGCTGCTCTTCTGGGAACCTGATGTGGCTCATGGCAATCAGGTTTGTTCAGGCCATTCACAGTATAAGCAAGAGGTGAGAGCTTGGACCCTTCAGGTCTCTTCAAATTCTTTGTTGGCCGAGAACCTGGCACACACTGCCTCTCGTTTATATTTTCCCTGTGCTGACACATTTCAAACGTTTAAGATACTTCTGAGATCAGATAACTAATATGGCTTAATATAGATCTTAAGTGAAATACACCACTTCAGCAGTACTCATATATAAATTTAAGTATTGAGATGATCACTTGAAGTGGCTTCTAAAATTAAAATAGTGGTGGGTAAAAATTCACCATCTGCAGTCCTGAGGATTAACTCGTTCAGCACTGCTACACAACCTGCTCCAAGGTTAACGTGAAGTCCTAAACTGCCCTAGACCTCTGAGTTGAGTCCTCAGTCAAGGTCCTTAGGGCTGAAAAGACCGGCTTTGTTACCCTGCAGCACCATTCCCTCCAGTATCTAACCAGTCAGCCTGCTCCCCACCTTAAAATGGAGTCTACAGCAAGCTGCACGCAAACCCACCCTCCTCCAAAGGTACACATTACATTTCTGCTCTTCCAAGCTAAATTGGAAGGACAAGCAGGAGAAAGAATGTAAACTCTAGAGTGAGATTTATTTTCCTATTCCAAGTGGGTACCAAGTAATTTTAAAGCAGATAATGTATGCTAATGGATTTAAATCTTTAACTTTTCATGTGTGCTCCACTTTCTTTGATGAGATTCTGTCACAAATCTATAAACATTAATTAAACACACCACATTATTTAAGATAAAGATATATTAGTGATTCTGATACTGAAAGTCTGGATATCATGCATAGAGTTATGCTGCTATCTCTGCAAACTGTAGGGGTGGGAACTCCATTTCTTTTCTCTCTTCACAATATTTCTGGCAGTAAGCAGTCTCTACTGACTATTGAAGACTGCTGTGGAATAAATGCTGTTTAGTGTCCCTTAGGGTGTCAGGCCACATAAAGTTATCTCATTAAAACTGTGTTATGGTACACACAACTGAGTGTAAAAGGAGTGAAGATTCACAAGAAACTTGCAATATTATTCCTTGACTTAAATGATTTACCATGTAGTCTTAATACTCTTTGCATGATATTGTGGTTTTTTGGTTTTTTTTTTTTTGTGATGGAATATTATTTCATTTATCAACATAGATTTTTGCCAATTATCTCTTGAAAGGATGGGTTTCAAAGTGGTAATTCTGCAGTAATTTCCAATACCGTTAAACCATTTGTATTATTCAATGTGTTGGTGGCAGGCTGACATGTTTTTGAAGACTGTTCCTGCCATTTCTTTCATTTTCTTCATAGGGCTAGGCACATTTTTCTGTTTCTTTTATTCTTTTCTTTTTGGAGCACTTAATCCTGTATCAGTAATTGCAGGAAGTGTCTTTCTTAGCTTCTTTTCATCTGCAGTGGAGGGAATACATCTTGCAAATTCAATCCCTCCTGTCGTATTTATAGAAAAATCAGTCCTCCTTGGGCTTCTAGTAAGCCTTGTGGCTTGCGGTTTCTGTTTCTTACTTTCTGACCGCTGACTCCGCATAGATATTCCCTCTCTCAGTTACCTGGAGTGTCAGCCTGCAAGGTGCAGTACACTCTGACCCCCATCCAGCAAAGCTATTAAGCGTGCGTCTTAGTAGGCCCTCCACGTGTGCTTAAACACGTGCTTAAATACTTTATAGAAAGGGAGTAATCTCAACACTTGGAAAGACTGAGTTTCAGAGATCCTTTAGACCTTTTCTTACCTAGTTTGCTAATCACTTGCCCTAGCCCTGCTCCAGCCTCTTTTTTGCCTTGTGCCATCTCCTTTCTGATTACCCGTCCTTATAATTTTCCGCCTCACCTCCTCTCCTTACGCCTTTGCATTCCCAACTAACAATGGAAGCCTGTGGTAATGGTCAGTGGTCATGGACATGTCTCTTTTTGTACTGCTAGAGTACAGCCTGGTGAATTTTACAGCATATGGCCTTTTCTGAGCTCCAAGGCTGTGCAAAAGTTAATAGAATTAAATTCACGGCATGTGAAGACATTTGCAGAGTTCGATTCTGTGGGTAAATTTTGAACCCGTGAACTTCAAGTGAGTTGAAAATTTATTCAGAACACGTTCTCCCATCTCTAGCACAGACTGCATTTAATGTTATACACATCTGTTATTATTACAAACAAAAAGTTGCTGTTTTTACTCTAGTGCCAAATGAGGCACAAAAAAACAACAGCTGTTGCTATTGCACAACCAAACAACCCCCTTCCCCCCCACAATTAGTCTTGCCTTGAAAAAATAGAATATAAAAACCTCAGACATAAAATTGAAAACCTCATAAAAAAGAAGAAAAATCCCAGAAAATAAATAGACTCAAATGTGGTCTGCTTATAAATATTCATAGGGAAAAATGGGATCACATCACTTAGCCCACTCCTAAGGGAACCCTCAATGCTAACGAACTCTTGCAGCACATGTTAGCAATAATGGGTTTCCTTATTCTACAAGACAAAAACAGGATCTCAGGCCAACATGGTGGCTCAAGTAACCAGTCTCAGCAGGCTGCCTTGGAGATTCCAATTTCACTTGAATTCTTGCCACTTCCAGCTCGGCTGATGATTTCAACTCTTTTATTGAAACGGAGAGGTAAGGCTGTGCAGTGCAGTGTGTGGCATTCAGCTGCACGTCTTCCATTTGTACAAATAAGTGTTGCCAAGCTCCCTACTTTGGTGCAGTTTTAACAGTTCCTCCTTTAAGGGGTTTTGTCCTAGCAGGTGCTTGGTAGGTCTCACTGTTGCAGTCTGGTCCTCAGCTATTCTCTTTGCTCTGGGGCCTGGTGGTCACACAAACATCTAAGCATTGCCACACTGCCAGTGAAAAACTGACCCAACCCTTTTCTCAAGTCCAGATGTGCCTCAAGTCTGTTCACATGCAGTTGCACATTCAAAGACAAGCTTACACTGAACTTTTATGCCCTGTGGATGATGAGCCCAAGCACACTCATCACCAAGCTCTTGTTCATGCCATCTGGGTACATCAAGCATGAGCAGGACGGAGCGCTCTCCACTCCAGTCTGCTGGCAGGTACTTGGAGTTCATTTCTCCCCATGCACATTGTCAAAGCTTGGCAGTGCTGTAGGCAGAAGGCAAGGCAGACAGCAATAGGGCTTGCTGCCTCTGCCCACTTCCCCGCTCTCTGCGGATACCTGCCACCTATTGTTTGTCTTCACAAGCTTTTCTGCACTGTTGAGTTTGTTGAGTGGACAGAGCAGCACAGCTCCATTTGCTCGCTCTTGCTGGCTGCTCCTTGCTCACCTGCTTGGAGGGACACAGGAGCAGTGGTCTCACAAATGGGACTTTCTCTGTGTTCAACTACTGTTGGAGCAAAAGGTCGGTGCTGGGGAGCAGCACAGCTCCATATGCCTCTTCCTTCCCTGTATGGGAATGCGGGTAAGCTCCAATATCACCATAAGTTCTGTTATAACCCACGCCAGTTTTTCCTTAGAAAAACACATAGTTCAGTCTGAAATTTTCCAGGCTTATCCTCTCGCTTGACAGTTAGCTTTAGGGAATTTAAGTAAAATCAGATAGAACATCTTTTAATTCGATGAAGACTGAAAAGGAACATGAATGTATGTACACAGAGGCATGTCTTCTGCTTCTAGCCAGCCTTGTATAAGACACAACCATAAATAAAATTGACCTGGGCAGAGTCGTAAATAAAGACTCGAACCTTTTGTCCATATAACTATGATTAGACCAAATTGTTTGCTTTTAGACATTGCACATCCTTGGATGCATGCCCATTTACTTCACTGGGGAGATTGATCCATGATTGGTAATATGATTTGGTGAGAGATACCACAAGATTTAGCCATGAAAGAAATCTGGTCAAACTAGATCTCTACCAGTGCCTCCTACCTTCATTCATTTTTGTATGAAAAACAAATGATTTGGGGGGAGTCTGGAGGTGGGTGCGGAGCAGATTGCCTGTGTGTGGTGACTAAAAGGGTGTGCATAGGAAATGTATATATTATGGGAGGTGGGGGAAAAGGTAGCGATCTTGTTAACCCAATGACTAGTCTGCTTTAGATATCCGTGAATACATGAGTCCAAAAATCTCTCACGCTCTTTCTGAAGAGAAAAGTGGTAACAGAGAACCCTTTTAGTATTTCATTTCTTATAAGACTGCCAGGAAGCTCTTTGAATAGTTCTGTCTGTTTTTAGCACCTGATATTTGAAGCTGTAACCAGGGCATTGAGTTCAAACACAACTTGAACTATTTTCAAAGGCTTATCCAGCCTTACAACATAACACAGTCATTGCTCGAAAAACTCTTTCATTAAATCAGCCTGTCTTTCTCCCAATTAGGGTAAAATCCTGAACAGAAAAGGATGCTGTCCTATTTGCACTGAAAGTAAGTTCTTTCTTGAAATTCTTTGAATTCTTTTTTATTCTTTCTGAGAAAATAAATATAATAGAAATATGTTTGCTTTTCTGCCTTCTTTTTAGAGGTGGCTAAAGGGCAGGTGGTTATTGCTGGCCACAGATTTTGCCTCCTATAAATCTGTAAATTTAAAATAAAATGCCTGGGTATTTTATTTTTATTTTATTTTATTGAAATGACACTATTTTTGTCAAATCTGATGTGCTGCTTTTTGAAGGATATAGTTGGCCTGTGAAATTTGTAGCTAATAAAATAAGCAAATGAATAGAGTTGTAACTTTTAGGACTGGGTACCCTTTATATCTGTAAATAACAGCCCAGCTATGTGTATATATAATCCAACACCTTTGCAGATGATTTGTGAGAGTTAAAAAAAGGTGTGCAGAATCTGAGACACAGTCTGGGGCAGCAGTGGGAAGTACAATAGAAAGCTATCCTTCTGTCTGTATGATGTTTAGCTCAACCATCACCTTTTTATCCCTTTACTCTTCACTTCAGGAATTATCATCTTATGATATCACTTGTGTTCTCTCCTAGTCAGCAAAGCACTTACACAAATACTACCTTTAAGCTTATCCTATTTAAGTCAACAGGGAGACCTGTCTTCACTGAAGTTAACAGGATGCAATTACGTATTTCCTTCAGGACATGTTTAAGTATTTTACCAAATAGGGACAGACTGCTAAAATGGGGTTTTATGATTTATAGGAAAGCTTCTGAAAGAACAGGTTTTTAAGGAGAGTATTTCCTATGCTTTTGTCTAAAATCAAATTGGTTTTGCTGATCAACTCAATTCTAGGTGCTCTTGGATTGCACAAATTCCATATGCTAAATACCTGTTTTTCCACTCTGCAGCTCAATTATTTTGAAACATGTAACTTGTGATAAAATAAATCTAGTTTGCAAGTCTTCAGTATAAAAATGAAATTAAATACAAGTGGCAACCTCAGAAACACTTGAAATAATAGTGAGCAGAGGGAGAAATGAAAGAGGATTCAACTGACCAGCAGTTGATTTCATGTTAGCTCAGTTTCAAGGGAGAAGAAATTTGCATAGACTTCTGCTCAAACATGACATGGTATTAGTGTCATGAATTTATCGATCTCTATCTTGCTTCTGTTCTTGTATTTCAGTCTCATTTAACCTTTCTCATGTGTTCTTTTGTAACATGAGAGGGGGAGGAAAATAATGGGGCCAGCCATTCCCTCAAAGCACTAGAGACTCTCTACTGTAAGGGGTTAAAAAGAAGACAGTATAGTGACTCCTTCAGAAATGCTGCCAGAGAATGATGATTTGTGATAATTGTTTCATGGGAGAAGAAGGCAAAAAATAGATTTCTTCAAAGTAAAAATAACTCATCTAGGAACCAGATTACCTAAAAAGTCAGAACTTCTCGATCATGTAAGAAGGGAATGGTCATGACTATAAGACATGTGAAATTAAGGGCAGACCGTTGTTGCTTGTCCTCCTGCCATGCAGCTCTGTAAAGAGCCTGGCTCCATCTTCCCAGTAACCTCCTCCTAGGTACTGGTAGACTGCTCTTAGGTCTCCCCAAAGCTTTCAGGATAAACAGCCTTATTCCCTTAGCCTCTTCTTATGGGTCCTGTCTGCATTGCACTAGCTGCACATGAGGCTGGGAGGCTCGTTGCACTGTCCCGCAGTGGCACGCTTCTCTGTTGCACGTGAAACAGAGGGGTCCTTTTTTTTGGAGAGGTGTCTCACTATGGACCTGTTTAGTGTTTGGAGGAGAGATGATGCTGAGCTGATTCTAAGCTTTTACGATTAAAGGCTGTTCCCAGAGTTATCAGGTAATGTAATCAAAGAGCTTAAATACCCACTGTCATACAGCAATACTAACCATTAGTGTTTTAACAGTTGCCTTTTGCAAGGAACTAATTCCACCTTTGTGCCAGAAGTGCTGTAAATCTCATCACGACATAAGACAGGCAGAAGGCAAAATCATAAGTATTTCAGTAATGATCACTATCTCAGATAGTAATTAGAAACTTTGCTAATTCAGCCAATTTCTGATGAGATAAGATGTACATGCACAGCCCTTTCCCTCACCCACCCACTCATGTTGATTCTCTCTCCACATATTAACACACCAGACATTTCTGGCGGTCCAGCAGATATTAATTTTCCAAAGTAAAAACAACATAGGAGGTACAAGAACATACTGTACACAGGAGAGCTTTGAGTACAGTTTAAATGCAGCCAATTTCTATGAAGTGGGTCAAAAACAGTCACGTTGTTAAAGGATACACTTTAAACTGAAAAAAAAAATCAAAGGATTATTTTTCAAAGCAGTTTGTTGCAGAGAGAAAAAGTACCTTGTCTTCTAAAGGGCTGGAGAGTCTCTTTTGTCTACTGTTGCCGAAGTTAACTATGGTTAGTTTTGGCATGTTGCTGTTTAAGCTCCATGGCTGGTGTACAGTTATCACTAATTAAACACAGTGGTCATACCAGTGGAAAATTCAACAGTTTAGTTTATCCTGCTGTAAAAATGTAATGAAATGTACTCTTTTGGGCTTGATTTAGAAAAATCACCACTGACGTCAATTCCATAAATTAGTAATCCTATGTTAGACCAAGGTCATTTTCATATTAGAAAAAGAAAACACTAAACCTGAGTTCAAATAACATTAACAGACTGCTCTCAACTCCAGACAAAGATGGGAGTTTGCAGTGGAGGTTAAATCTTTGTTCTTGACAAAGAAGAATTGATAGCCCTTGCTGAAATTGCAGCAGGCAGTATGAAAGCTTCCTACTGCAACCATGTAGATGTATTTTAATCATGATCAATAATCCTAACACAGTCTTACCTAAGTCATGTGAGGCTTTATGGATGAAGTTTTTTCAAAGCAGACTGCAGTCATCTAGGTCTAGCAGTACACATGATTAAATTTGCAGTAAAGGCCTCTTTTGGGGCAGAAAATTTCGTTCATCACAAATCATTCTGCAGCTTTTTTTAATTGACAAAATGACCAGTGGAGCTAAACCAAACTCAAGGGCATTTGGACCCAGCCTTAGGAGTAAAAGGCTGGTACTTTCACCTGGTCCTGCATCCTTTTTATTTGTTTTTATAGAAATACTGGAAAAATTGATGACTCTTCAAAGCAAAAAAAAAAAAAAAAGAGAGAGAGATATGCATTGTAGGTACCTGTGAGAGCAGGGAGTGGGACTAAAGGACCACATAGGCCCCTGCTTGTCTTGTTTCTTGTGTTATTTCCTTGCCATGAAGAAATACATCAACAAAAAGACTGCAATTGTTTATTCATACTGGAATGCTGTTCATGATTTACCTCCTCAGTCCTTTCAGCTGTGATGGTCTACTGTATAAATATGTATTTGGACAAATTGGAATAGCTATTTTATTTATGAAATAGACCATAAAGACTCCTGTGGAGTTTTTGACACCACACCTTGTAATGTGTATTATATCAAGCTGCACTATGCAGCAGTTATGAGGAAAGTACTCTATGGCTATGCATTTTTTAAAGAAAAGCTAATGAAATTCTATTATGCATGTTCTGTAGCTAGTTTTCAAAAGTTAATAATGTGTTCTGTTTGATTTAGGGCTTAATTCAGCATATAGGCTAATTGCATTCAAAGTTTCATTTTATTTTTAAAAAGCTGAGATATTTTTGAATTATAGATGTGCAACCAGAACACCCTTAACTGGTAAACTTGTATTTTTTCCTCTCTCTCCTTACTTAGAAAGTGTCCAAACCAATTTTAGTTATAATTTAAAGTATATTTTTTTTGGCCACTCTTAACTAGCTACAAGCCCAGAAGAGTGTGACCAGACATCTGGACATCTTGGACTTCAATTGACTGCTCTGATCTCCTGAAAAAATAAAACAAGCTATTCCATGAGCACCAGAGCTAACAGAGCCTGGTTTCCTATGGATTTGTGTCCCATTTCCTTTATATCCCAACAAATAATAAACCCAGCTAGAGACAATATATCCTGTGGCTGCTCTGGAGCTACAAGTGTGCTAATTGCCCAGCCAATATGCTCATGCTCTCCGGCTGCTCAGGATGTGCGTGCTGACTGTCTGTCTGGCCTCCACCAAGTAGTGTATATATATATCACCTTTCTAGAAAGGCTAAATACTGTCTGGGGGAGTGGGGGCATTTGGTGGAAGGCAGAAAGGTACTTTTTGGCAACCACTTATTTCAATAAGTGGTTCTTACCTTTACTCAGCATACTACTTACGAGAAGTGAGTTGTGTTTCAGACTTTTATCCCTCTGTATTGGCCAAAACAGGTAATGATTTCATAAACTTTTTTCTTTTTCCCTTATGAGAGTACATTAAAACTCGGGGAATGCTAAAATGTTCTTTTCCTTGCTGTTGCCTTTTCAGCCTCCTTTTTTGTACAGATAAATATGTTTTCAAAAACGGTGCTCCTTGACCACAGTTACCTTCCCCGTTACCTTTTCTAATGAAAGTCACTATTTCATTTGAATTGGGCACATGATTTGTAAATGCAAGGAAAGCATGCCAAGAGTTCTATAGTATTCACTTTAGCACCTAAATACTAATATTATTAGTTTGCAAGTAAGCTGTAGAGCCTTAGGTGGGAGCTGAGCAAATCACACATGTAGTTTAAGATTGTCAAATGTAAAAGTGTGAAGTCCATATTTAGTTGCTTAAAAAACAAACGTGAAAACTGCTGAGCTCCCAGAAGCTTTTATGAAAGCCAGAAGTTTTGAATACTGATTTGGGAGCCCAAATGCAGGATTTCCAAAAGAGGTTTAGAGGTGTTTGCAGCCAGCTCCCAATAATGTTTAATCGGAGTTGAGTGCCTAAGGCACTTTGAAAATCACAGCCTCCTGAACATAGCTCTGGGGCCTTCCTTTGAAAAATTTGTGTTTTTCAGGGACAGAGAGGGAATGGGTATATTTGCCTTCATGTGCATGTCTAGATGAGCAAAAAAAGACATCAAAGATCATGAATGCTAGGTTCAAAACAAGCAGGAGGCAGTGGTTCTTAATGCACTTTGCCCAAGGGTGTTCTGGATGCTAAAAACATTTTTGAGTTCGGGGGGAAACTGGACAAATTCACAGAAAAGAAGTCTATGAAAGGTTACTAAATAAAGAGAAACCATGTCTAGCTCAGAAAGTTCCTAAGCTGAAAATAGTTGGGGGCTGGCGGAGTCTTAGGGGCACGTATTGTATATAATTGCCCTTTTCTAACTCTACCCTAGACAGCTGATAGAGACAAGGAGTATACACAATAAGCTGTGAACAACTTACCCCAGGGAAAAAAGGGAAGGATCTTCACCTGTGACCTTATGCCTTGTTAGCACAAGCTAGCAAAATTCATACTCCAGCATTAGGGAACATAGCTTTGGTGATGCAGCCAGACCTCTCCATCCGTTATGTCCTAACAGAGGAGCAAGGCACACACGATCCTAACTAGAGAACCGGTGCTTCTAATAGATTTCAAAAACAGCCAAGCAGAAAGACTAGTTTGTTTCAGAGGAGAAAAAAAAAGGCAAAAAAAAAAAAAAGCAGCAAACCATAAAACCTGATGTGATTGAAACTCTCCCAAAAGGAAATAAACAACAACCCAAAATCTAAAAATGGCAGGAACTCTTTTCATGTTGCCTGTCTTTTGCAGTCTTGTTACACCCAGTATTTAAGGTTTATTTCTACGCCAACCACTTCTTCTTACTGGCAGTGCCTGAGTTATCGCACACAGTGGATTTTTTTTTTTTTAACCCCACAATTTTAGCAAACCTTTCAAGACTGTTTTACACAGTGATATCAGAGAATCAATTATTCAGGCTGGTTTTGCGTAGATTTTCCCTCCCCTATTTCCTTGGTTATTAAAGAAAACAGCAAAATTTGGATCAGACATTCAGCTATCCAGTCCAAAATACATTCTTTTTTATTTTAACTGCACTGCATCAAGTTGACATATGACGTGACACGATGTAACATAACATAAAACAACATTACTCTGCATAACACATTAGAAATTAAAAATAAATATTTCCTTTGGATCCCATTGGTACTATCAATTTTACTTGCACATCTCTAAATTATGTTTGTTCCTCTCATGTCTTGCCTCTTAGCCACTTGCTTAGGTGAAGAACCAGCCTCCCTCTCCCGATACGTTAGTTAATAACATGTATAACATGTCCATGTTCTTGGCCTCCTAGAAACGCAGACAAAAAACAGTTCTCTCCTCTGAAATCTTCACTGATGTTTGGGCTGATTTTTTTGCTGATAGTTTCCTTGTTTTCATAAAAGTTGTCATGTTTAAAGAAAAATTAAAGCCTGAAAAAATGAAATAGAATCTGAGCAGTTAATAAAATGTATCTTAATATTCATCATGAGGATAATTACATGAGTACATAAAGAAATCAGAAACATGTTAGTATGATTTAGTAACGGTAAAGTCAGATGGTCTCCATGTAAAATCTATGGATTTTTTTCCCATTGGTAAAAATTACATTGGTGATTAAAAACTATATGATTCCTGCCAATTTATGGAGAATCAATTAATCTTTTTATGGACTTTGAAAAACAGTTATTGATATCCTCACTGGTATCAATGAAGGAAATGAGACTCAAAGAAGTGCACATTTTAAAAAGCATTCCTTTATCTAAGTCTCTTGGTTTTCAGTCTCTGCTTAAAGTACATCAGGCCTGATTTCCAGAGGTTTTGGTCAAATGTGGTTCATTTTGACTTCTAATGGAGCTGTTAACATGTGGTCCTTGAGAAATCAAAACTTTTGGTCCCTGATTGCCAGGCATAGTAGAGAGGCATAATAATGATGCCAAGACTAGCTACTGGCTTAGCTAAAGAAGCACGCATGTCGCAAGTTAGGGGTAAAGTGCAAATCTCCCAGGTACCAACTCTGTGATGGCACTACACCATGTGGTGAGGAAGACTGAGGTTAGACTTTAGGAAGACCTTCCTCACAGTAAAAGCAGCTGAGCAGTGCAACAGGTTGCCAGAGGCGGCTGTCAAGTGGCTCTTACTACTGCTCTTTAAGAGCAGGTTAGATAGATATCTGTCAGGAATAACAGATAAAGGTGATTCTGCATTACAGCTGGAGAAGGAAAAGGTAATGTCTTCTGGGGTCCCCTTCGGCCCCATTTTCTGTATCTCCATGTGGGTATCCTTGGATGCTCTTTAACTACAGCTAGAAAAACGCCAGAAACATTATTGCTGCTTTAGCATAGCACTCTGCCTAGGCTGGAAAACCCTGCTGAGAAAGGTGTATTGCGTAGTCAAAGTTGCATTGCACTCCACCAAAGGAATTCCCTGCCTTTTATCTGTAACATCCATGTCTCCTCCTTTTTTGTATGTTTGAATTTGCCTTTTTTAGCTGCCTTTTTAGGCGAGCCATTGTTAGTTGGGTGATTTTTTTTTTCCAGTGAATAAATTGTATTCCTTGTAACTCTCCCCTCCTTTGTTGTGGTGGGGTTTTTTTGTTTTTTGTTTTTTTTTGATTGATGCTGTTCACAGCTCTTTGACTACTGAGTCAAATTTTGTTCCTGCACCAAGCCCTCCCCCTAAAACAGGCATCATCTTTCCAAGGCAGCCTCAGCCCACGGGTATCCAGCTGGCAGTAGCAGTGCGCATTTCTCTGCCTTGAGACTCCTTCTTCCAGGAACAGCAGCAATGAGATGTGGTTAGGATCTATTGTTATACCAGAAGGCTGCAATGCAAATAAATTTGCTGCTCTCTTTGATTGTGAGGCAATTCAATCAATTGCTGGGTAACTGCAGGGTAACTCAGCATCATTGACATGAGTGTGGAAACGTTCTGCCTTTGAGCTGCGGCTTCTCCGACCAGCGTATGGATGCAAACATCAATAAGAGATCTTGCTCTATTTGTAATGATGCAAATGATTGGTAGAGATACCATGCCTTTCGATAGTCATTCATCATGTTAGTCACTTACTACTGACTTTTAGTTGGTAGCATAACAATAATTACAAGTCAGTTGTATATAAATAACATATATGATAGCTTGTACCACGGAGTAAAGGTGATGATTCTACAGATAATTTGGGAAAAAAACCCATAAATATACCTAGTTTATAAATGTGCAATATTTATAAGTGTGTCTATGTAAAATATGGACAGAATTAGGTCCTGCTAAAGTGGTCTGATGGCTTTTAATTTCAGGGCATCACCCCTGCCTAACTGGGGACATTAAAATTAGCCTCAAAAATATACATGTGATGTTTTGAATTCTGGTTCTGTTAGTGGATTAGGCTTTGCTCCCATAACACAACTTAAGGGTAGGAGCTCATCTCAGGGGAACTTAACTGTCTGAGAGGAATGCCTGTAGTCTTAGATACTTGTTTGCACTCCCAGAGCTGGCAGCAGAGAGACAGGCTCCTCCAGAGAGTAATTCCCCATGTATTAAAAGAGATGTCTAAAACTGGTGAGATGAAAGACTTTCTAGTCATGTCTGTTTCTCTGTGTCAGTGCGAGGGAGACTGGATGAATTGCTTAGACTAGACATTTCATGTTTGGAAAGCTGAAGCTAGGTGGGAAGGCTCCCATCACACATCTCCAGAGACATGTGGTCTGTGCAAGCCCAGGCCTCTGCCTGCTCTGACATCATGAGTGGGGCTTGTATTTTCTGGAAATTAAATAATTCAAAAAATTTCACAGGCATTGTAATAACCTAAACTGTTCAGGTGATACATTATGTTTAAGGGACAAACATAGGTTGAAAGATGTGTCTTTGGTTCCTAGCTACAGGTTAGCCTTCCTATGCTGCCCCAAGGATCAGTTTGCCTTTGGTTCCCACCCGCTTTGAGAAAGACTTCTACTAAAGCCATGAAGCTTCTGTTTTTTCTGTTTTTTTTATATATATATATCTATATTCCTAGTGTGTGTCAGCCAAATCTGCCCTGTAGTGCAGACAGATTAGGTGAGAGTGGTGTCCTCTAAGTTCTTATCAACTGCTTTTTTCAAACTTTGATTGATCCTGATATGGCGCTTTTGTTTCTCACTCACCTGCAGAGCCTGGAGTTTGCACTGTATTTGGAGACCCTCACTACAACACTTTTGATGGACGGACATTTAACTTTCAGGGAACATGTCAGTACGTTTTGACGAAAGACTGCTCCTCCTCTGCCTCGCCCTTTCAGGTGCTGGTAAAAAACGATGCCCGTCGGACCCGTTCTTTCTCCTGGACAAAGTCAGTGGACCTTGTGTTGGGCAGAAGCACTATCAGCCTCCAGCAGCACCTCACAGTGAAGTGGAATGGGACCCGCATCTCACTACCTTGCGAGACACCGCAATTTCAGATCGATTTGGATGGTTATTTGCTGAAAGTGGCTACGAAAGCAGGTAGGGCAAGTGTGCATGTGTGTGTGTGTCTTCTCTCTGAAGAACTTCTCAAGTGTAACATGAACAGTAGTCAGTAAAAAAGCATGATAGCAGTAATAAATGTAGTTACAACTCTTTAGAGATATGAGGAACCCAAAGTGCTTTCAAAATCCCTGCAGCCCACAAGCAGAGATCCCAGCTATGAGTTTGAAGTCTTTGCAGAACATTTGCTAAGCTATGTTTCATTCTGCAGCTGACAATTAACTGCCTGAACAGATGAATGTGACATGATTTTAACTTCAGTAACTTAAGAGTGGCTTATGCAGGATCATAGTTTGATATTTACAGATAAGAACAGAGAGGAGATCAGTTCTTAAACATAACATTCAGTTTTTACTCCAATTGCAGCAACATACCTTACAGTCGAAGTCAGCAATTATATAAAATCATAGTTAACAATGGCTGGAATGAGTTTAAGTTGTCAAATTATGGAAACATTTCACTGGGGCTACCCAGCAAAATGGAGGTCCTGGTTTGAAAACCAAGGCCTGACTTGCTGTTCAGTGCCATCTTGTTGGACTTACTTTGTGCTCGAGTAAGAGTTTGTCTGTGAGGAACAGAGAGTCCACAGCACCAGAAGCAAAAGGAAATTAGAAACTTCGGAGAATCTGGTACCTTATTTGTAGAAACAGGGAAGGGAGATAGTAGACTCTCGGGTCTTTTGTGTCCTAGAAAATACATTAATTGTCAAAATGCTAAACCAGAGAACTTATATTTGTTTTGATAAACTGTTCTGAAACTATGGTATCCTTGCATAGATAAACACTGAGGGGAAGTTTAAAACTTTCTCATTAGCATGTGTTAGGTACTACTGTAGTCCTGAGAGATTTCACTTACACAGTAAAGTACTGTTTCAGTGAGAATACTATTTACTGTTAATTCAATTAAATGCCATGTGAAAGCAGTGAAACCAATCTTTCTTATGGAGTGATATGGCCACAGGCGTGACGCATAGTCATACTCATTATCTAGCATCATTTTTTTTCAAGGGGGAGACTAGCACCCACTGTTGAGCTGAGAATTTAGACACCTGTTCATATAGCCCCTGGAAATGTAAGTCTGCATAATGTGGATCCCAGCTCTGGGCTCATTCCTCAAAGTGGCAATGCAGATTTTTGTGGCTGTCTGTAAAATGCACACAAGTTGACCATTATTCACAACTTCTAATTAAAAGCATCTTGAGGGTTTCTCTTTGCAGCCAGCTGAACGCTATGAATTCTGGAGATGTGGATTTCATTAGCCAACCACAGGCCAAGGAAAGGTTTTCAATCGAAGATGAATGACAGCTAATCCTGCTGCTATTCCATTTGTCTCTGGTGCAAGCTTAATAAATGACTACACACATCCTTGTCCATGTGTTGGCAGAGGGAGTGCAAACATGGCATATGACAACATACCAAACAGTGTGTAATCACTGCAAATTATAGCCTAAATAATTCCTCCCCTTAACGGAGCAGGATTAGGTTTCTCTCGCTGAACACAGCACGATGGGCCAAGTCCTCCTTTCCTCAGCATGTAAGGCCTGGAAAGCAGCAGAATGGCATGGCTCCATTTTGCTGGGAGAGGACAAGCAGCAGAGAGGTTGTAGAGAGGAGGAATGTGCTGAGTAGAACTGGTTTAAAGACAAACCTTTTGTTCCACAGGAAATTCCAAGTGCCGGGGGAAAAAAAAATGGAGAATTTTCTCTGTTTTAGAATGAAACATGGGTTTTTTAAAAAATATATACTTTCCCAGTGTAGGGTGAAAAAAGAGGGGGAGGGAGGAAGTAATGAAAAATAAGCAAAACTACTGCACTAGAAGCAAAATTCAAAGTGAAATTGGGCTGGGAAGTGCAGGGTCTGGTGCTTACAGTTCAGCCAGCATTCCCACGGCTTTTGGTTTTCCTTTTGCAGAGCTGGGAGCTCAGCCCTGGATAAAACAGGGGAGCCCAAAGCTTCAGGAAGCCTTGTGGTCCCTGGCTACGGGGCAGTCTGCATGGCAGGGCTGTTCTGGACTTCCATACCCTGAGAGTCCAGGCTTCCAGGCAGCCCACCAGGCAAGCTGGCAAGAAACCAGCTTGGAGCCTTGCCTGTGCCGTGTCGGAAGTTCATTGAATCTGATATGTCTCCCTGAAGCATTTCAGTTCTGATGAATTGGCATTTTCCAGTGAAAACCTGTTTTGTTGCTCAATTCCTCACCAGCCATAGCCTTGGATGCCATGCAGCAGCAATTCTGGCACCCTGCAGTTGCAGGTGCTTTGTCATGGGTGTGGTTAGGATGGTGTTGAGTCCTTGTCTAAAATTTGTGTGTTAGAAAGATGAGAGAGCAGAGGGTCACAGAGCTGGTGTTACTTATCTGTCCTTGCAGTGCAGGAGCACTTTTTTTGTTGTTGTTTCTGTGCTGATCTTTTGCATGAAGCCCCTTTGCTGAGGTTTTCTGTACCACTTTGGCACTAAATCTTTAGGGAAGAGTGGTCTGCCAGTTCTTGAGGATGCCTTTACCATGAAAAATCATGGAGAACAATTGATGGGAGTTCCCAGCATGGGGAACTCAGTGTGTGATGTGCATAAATCCAGAAGGATTTTTTTTAAATGCAGTAGAGCACATAGTGTGCCAAGTTAAGAAATCAAGTAATGAGTTGATTAAGCATCCTTCAAAGAAAAGGGAAAATTGGAAAACCCTAAAAAGTAGCTCAGAGAATATTCCTTTTCTGCACATCCCCAGATGGGACAGATGCTGCATCCTTTGGCTTCACATCTCTTGGATTCTGATTCTTGTCCAAGTGAATGGGAAACTCATCCAGCTGGGGGGGTCGGGGGGAAGGAAAGGAGGGTATAGGCACCAAGAAACTCTTCCAAACAATTTCTGTCTGCCAAGGAGACTGTTTCAAACATTGCTCCATAGCATAATCCCATCTGTCACAGCTCTTGTTGGTATACAGAAACGAACTGAATTTTCTGCTTGCGAACAAAAAGGCACACACTGCACACTGCGATCAGGCTGCGACAAAATTATCACTCATGTAGGAGTAAATACCCTTCCTCGTTACCCCAAAAGGGAATAAGCTCCATTATGGACAGAAACCTTTAGGCTGTTCATCAAAGCTAGAAATTACCCTTCCATCTGAGCAATTACAGCATAATATAGTGTAATTAATACCCAGCTAGAGGAAAGTAAATCCTTTTGTGGTAGTTAAACTGTGAGTCTTCTGAATAAAATCCAGTAATCAAAGCAGGACTCTCTATATTTAAAAATGTGCATTTTTATATGCTGAGATGAAAAGTCATAATTTTATGTTATTCTTGTCTGCATATCTAGAGTTCACAGAGCAACATGTAACAAGTAGATTAACTTAACTCTCACAAAGGACACACAAATATTCAGGATAATTTTAGAGGTAGCCTTTTGTAATGAACATGAGTGTTTTCACTGAAAGTCAGTAAGTCTTGGCTTGAGAAAAAAAGTTGTAAAAGGAAAATTAAGGTAGAATCATTAGCCAGTCTTTTGTGACTCTGCTTAAAGTCAGCAGCTTCTGAGGGAGCTCATTTGGGGAAGAAGGTGAACACCGCCTTAAAAACTGGAGTTATTTTCTGAAGAGAACTGTCTGAGAATTTGGATCTCGATGCTTCAAGCTTTGAGAAAGTTTATATGATTTTCAAGTCTGAAGAAATCTTAGTTTATAAGTTAATGGCAAGGTTTTTGTAAATGCCAGCACGGCAGTATTAATCTGGTGTCTGCAAATCAAGCTGTGTTTTGTTTTGTTCAGCATTGTCAGAAGCAAAGACATCTGGAATTTGAATTTGTTCAGCAATGATAATGTATGAAGCAGCTTAAAAGGCAGCTTTCCCCCTTGCCACTGTGCTGGCCTTGTTAACAATTGTAGTCTTGCACAATTTCTCAATTGGCTGGGTGTAAAGTGCCTTTGGAGGAGGACACAGTGTCCCTATACATGCTGGGTTTATTAGATAATTTGAAACTGCTTTCACGCACAGTCAGCTCAGGACATATTTGTGCTATCACTGCTAACCTATAGAGATAAGAAAACATGATGCAATAGACTGTAGTGACCGGGGATGCAGAATTATCTGCACAACCTTGGTTCCCCAAACTCCTGGTGACACGGTGTAAACCACACAAGCGCCAGGACAGTATGGCAAAGCACCCCTTCTACAACCATAATTGCCGTTTGAGCCTCGCCCTGTTTCTCTGTGGATAGGAATTGTCATAGGAGACAATGGGATGTGTTGCTAAAGGAAGGGTTCCAGCTTTGAACTGAGTCACTGCTATGTTAATTACTTACATGAGGATAGGGCAAGATTTGGATCACACAGTGACAAGCACTGATTTACAAGAGGAAAGGGTGGTGCTAAGCCAGCCCACACAGCAAATGGAGCAAAGCCCTGGTCCTGCACCGTGGAGTGATGCTGTTTGGTATTCTTGGCCAGGCAGCGAAAAGAGGGTAAAATCTGTAGTATCCTGTTTAAAAGCAGGTTCCTGTGTTTATCCTTAACTAACCACTGCACACGGGTACTTTATGAGAATAAATTAACATCAGCAAAATTATTTGTGATCTTCAGATGCAGGGTTACTGCAGAGATGTGAAGTAGTAGCATTCATCAGATATTGGAAATAATTAAAAGAAATGCCATTTTGGGATAAGAGTTAAGCAGCAGTGATTCTCAGTGTTGTTTTTATCCCATATGATACCAAAAATGCTTTCCCTTACGAGACACATATTTACTCCTCAAAGGATGGAATTCATTTAATTTACGATGACCCAGGTAAAAACTAGAAGTTTAGTTTCTGCCTGATCACTGGGTCCTCTAGAATATCACTGGAAACAGAAAGGCATTCAGAAGGTGGTTTATTCCCTCTGCATTAGACACTCATGTTGTGACCCAGAGCTGCCTGTTTCTCTCCATCAGAGAGGGCCCAGACAGCTGACTTAAGCCAAGCACCTTGCTTTTAGATGGGTACAGACAAAATGGATTTCACCCACAGAAAGCAATTTTGATTTTGATGTACTAGAAGTGCAAAACCTTACTGTAAAACAGATTGTAGCAGAGCACTTACATCACAGCCACTAGATGAAGGTTAGGTGTTCACCATCATTCCTCAGTGTTACTGACTTATGAAGACAACTTCAAAAGACTGGAAATTAACACCTTTTGAATGAACAGTTTGAATCCAGTTCAGAATGCCTTCTTACAACAGTTTTACCCATCTCACATGTCTTATAGGTGCTTGCATTGGAACAGTAGTATTTACCCAAACGAGTCATCAGTGTCAGCTTTGCAGGCAAGAAAAGGACATTTTCCATAAGGTGGTCACTGGTGGAGCCTCATGGGGCATGGACATATTTGTATGCCTATGACCTGTGCAATGGGTGACAATGGTTGAAATTCTGGGGCCTCCGTGAAATAGCTGGAAATTTGCCCCAGCAAGTTCAATTTGCAGAATTTTGCAAGAGCCCTCTTTCTATGTTGAGAGTAGTTCTGCCTTGGCTCCAGATTTTTTAGGATAAGCCCATTCATTAGCAAGGAGGAACAAAAATAAATAGAGACAGGCATGAGTGTATTGTAATTGACTGTGATTTAAGAAACACTACACTTGCCAGAGGCACTTACTGGGAGGTATATAGAAATCTAACAACATTATCAGAAGGAAGCCAATGGCTTTGTTTAGGTTCCCATGAACACAGTTTCACAAACATAAGGCACAGTTTGTTATCCTCAATTTCTTCTTCTTCTCTTTTTTTTTGTGTGCGTGTTTTTGTCTCATCTCTTTATTAGGCTTGGAAATCTCGTGGGATGGAGACAGTTTTGTGGAAGTCATGGCTGCGCCACATCTGAAAGGCAAACTCTGTGGTCTGTGTGGCAATTACAACGGGCACAAGCGAGATGACCTGATTGGTGGGGACGGGAATTTTAAGTTTGACGTGGACGACTTTGCCGAATCCTGGCGCGTGGAGTCCAACGAGTTCTGCAGCCGCCCACAGAGAAAACCTGTGCCCGAGCTCTGTCATGGGACGGTCAGGGTGAAACTCCGAGCTCACCGGGAATGCCAGAAACTCAAAGCATGGGAGTTTCAGAGCTGTCATTCAACGGTGGATTATACCACATTTTACCGGTAAGCATGGCTTGCTGTGGAGGGGGATAGTAAGTTACTGTGTGAGGAGAAAAACCACACAGTTGGCCCAATTTCAGTAGTGTTTGAGCACATGCTTTGAGCTGCTTTTGCTAAGAGTTAATATACAGGCTTAGAGTTACATTATGTTGAGCTTTTCTGAGTCAGGAATCAGAAGAATATTGTCCTGAGCTAATAAAGACCCGAGCAACCAACAGTGAGAAAGGCAGTCAGGCTTGTGATCACCTAGAGCAAAAGTGCTTTTGGAGATTGAGGAGAGAGGGGGAAGAGACTTCAAAACATTTTGGTAAGCTCTTTCTGATTTCAAAAAGGTTGTAAAGTTGAGGCTGACTTTAATTACTACTGCTTGTGGTCCAGAGAAGTGTGTCTTCCCAGAAGCATTTTGAAAATGACTTTATTAAAGCAGGGGTATTAAATATTACTAGTGCTTCTTGGATGGTGTAGTTTGTAGGTTGACAGTTTGAAAGGAGAGAGTTAACAAAAAGTTCAGTGCATGCCCATCCTGCCCTAGGAGCAAAGGAAGACAAATGAGGATCTAGAAGCCTTGTCTGAGTGAAGATTTTTTATCTTTAAAACGCTTCCAGTCTAAACCACAGAGACATCATTTCTGTTCTTTAATTGGCATGAGTTTATTTGCCCCTCACTCAGTAAATAAAATTGGCTTTCTTTTGATTGCCTGACATAAAAGATAAAAGCAAGCCAAGTCACAGTTGCATGATGGCGAAGGGAGCTGCCTGATCTCCGCACTCCCAGCTTTCCCCACTTGTGCACATCTGCTGAACTATTGGGCTTATTAGGAAAAGCTTTCTAAAATGACTCCATTTCCCTCATGAATTGCCTTTCCTCTTCTTTTATAATGAGACAGAAAGACTTTTATCTACCTCAGCAGAATACGTCTGGGACTGGGAAATGCTAGAAGACGGCACACGGCTTGGCTTGTAGTCTATGTGCTTCTGCATTTAGTTTGCTATAGTGTATCCCTGTGCTAGGAGCCTGGCAAAGAGTGAAGATTATATTGTGTGCAGGTTATAATACTTTATCTTTTCCAATGGCTGGAGCACAGCAGAGAGCACTAGAGATGCTAACACACACACACACAGGGTCTGTTGAATGCATTTCAGCAACATTCCCATCTCACTTCCATCATTCTCTAAAGGTAAGTGATGACAATGCAAATGGAAAACAGGCACAGAGAGATTTGTTTCGTTTTGCAGTGGATTTTTTGTCCCTTTTTAAAAGTAGCTTGTGATTAATTTGGTGCAATACAGTTTCTGACACCACAGTGGAAAATGATTTATATTTTGGCTACAGCAGCCAGAAAAAAAATCTCTACATGCTTGCACACAAGAATTACCGTAGAGCATTTCTGTTGCTTTAAAATTGTGTCTTCTCTTTGTCCTGGAAGGACAATGAAATCAAGCAAGTATTTAATTTGATTATGTCCTTTTGTAGAAAAGTCTGTTTTTCCCTAAGGAAACTTTATGTTGAAATGACCATCATATTCTGTCAGAAGTAGCTGTTCGTTTGCGTCCATTTAGATGTTGCCAGTTCTTAGAATGCTCAGCTCCCAATACAGGAATTAAAGATAAAATATAAATTAAAATTAAATAATGGTAGTTAGTAGAATGCTACTTCTTGTTAGAAACAGACAAAGTTGTAGCAAGGAATTTATTCAATGACCATGGCCATTTTTCATACTAGGAAATTCCCACAAGGAGGTAATGATTATGGGACATACATTCAATAAAGCTCTAGGAACATTTCTAACATAAATCTTTGCATATATAAATACACGCATGCATATGTGTGTGTGTATAAGTATAAATATGCGTACTTAAGAGATTTGCATTTTTCATGACTTTTTTTCGAAGAATCCATTGCTGGTGGTGTACTCTTGCAGAAAATTTAAATTACCACTAAAAGAAATTTAAATTAACATTTACAGCTTTTTACTGAGGTCTTTTAGAAAAGCATATTTAGTCAATGTTTTATAATTTCAGGCTAGTTTTAACTAAAATTTTTCCAGTTATTCTTTTCTGACTATAAACGAGCTCTGAGCGGTAAGAGAAGTGAAGAGGCAGAATGGTAGGGTCAGCTTCTTTCATTTTTCTATTAATCTTCTTTTGAATTGAATAGCTTCTCAGTTTTTACCCTCCAACATTACGTATTATGGAATTTTTCCATTTGAAATACTGCATTCTCAAGAGTTAACCTTTCTTGGTCATTCTTGCCTATATTATCCACATTGCCTCATTTTCATTATGCTGCTCTTGTACTGACCTGCTGTTAAAAAGAATTTTCAGAAATAGAAATAAACTCAGCAGGAACATTACGAATTAGGGTGTGTTTTCTCCAAATACCAAAAAAGGCAGCGAACAATGCATTGCAAATATTTGTCTGACATTGTTACTGAAGAGATTTCTGTGAAGATGTCTCAAATTCATTTTAAGTCTCACTCTTTTCACAGCTGTAGTTTCTCCTTTTGTTAGCCATCCAAAAAACATATACAGCAAGGTTGTCATGATTGTTAGGTGAAAAGGACATGCTTAATGTTTTAAAGTGTAGAGATCTAGCTGCATGGTTGTGGGGTGAAGAACAGCTAACACCTGAACTTGACCTTGGTAGATCTGTGACACTTTAGGAGAAATGGTTGTGCACCTTGCCCTTAACCCTTTTTTTGATGTTTTGACTTTGGTGACTTGTGTTTCTCTGCAAAGTGCATGGTAGAAGAAGGCACAATATAAGTGTACAAGAAAGGATTTTGAAATAGTCCAGACTGCAAACTAACAATTTTAGCATCTAATTTTATACCACTTTTTTAATTCTTTGTTTTGTAACTAGGCACATTTTATGGGCTTTTAATTGTGGTTTGTTTGGTTTGGTTTTGGGTTGGTATTTTTTGTTTGTTTTTAATGCATTGCTAGTTGTTCAATACTCCTGAGTAATACTCTAAAAATAACCTTTAGGATTGAACTTTATGGAGGCAAGTTAATTAAGCAGGGAAATGATTTTGAATTTCCAGAAGATTTTGGTAAAGTCTGGATGAAGAAGAGATTAGCAGTGACAGTCATCACCATTGCCACTTGTCTATTTTTATATTTTAATATGGCTAAGCATCCTGGATTAGTTCTTGCCAAAAAAAAAGAAAAAGTTACCAAAGTTACTCAGTAGCAGGTTTTTAGAGGGGATACTTTGACCGTGTATGCAATAAAGCTTGCACTCAGACTCCTGAAGCTGCTCTTGAGTATAAGCAGCGCTAAAAATAGGTGATACCATCTGAATTTCTCATGCTGCTGTTAACAGAAAAAGCTCTATCACATTATCAAGAAATATTATGCTACTATTTAAGCTCTTGGATGAGGATTTGGGGAGCTTAGGTGACTTGAGGAAGGAGAAGAGGACTTTATGTGTTCACCAAGCCCTACCCTATGGCTGATCTCATTTTGTATCTTCAAGCTGTGCTGGAGCAGGGCTGGAGCAAGGCGCAGCAATGCTACTTGATAGAGGGACAAGTTGGGCTGCAGGAGACACCATAAAGGAAGGCACAGGACTACTACTCCTAGTAACACCTGCCCTCATTAGCATCTGTGGCTTTCTAGTAGGTTTTTTTAATAGTTTGGTATCACCAACGTGACATCAACATGATATCAGTATATTACCCATCTCTAATACACCTACACAGCGGCTGAGTTCATAAATGACTAGTTATACATTGCTCAAGACTCTCACTACTGCCATAACTTGGGAAAAATATTCAATGTCTTGCTTTGTCCATGCAGTAGATTCCCCCATTTGAGATTGGAAAATTTGTGCTTCTAACTTGAGACAAATCTTTTTATTGTTATTACTCTTCCTATTATTATTACATATTTTTATTATTGTTGCTATTATTATTATTATTATTATTATTATTATTATTATTATTACATCTGTGGCTTTCTAGTAGGTTTTTTTAATAGTTTGGTATCACCAACGTGACATCAACATGATATCAGTATATCACCCATCTCTAATACACCTACACAGCGGCTGAGTTCATAAATGACTAGTTATACATTGCTCAAGACTCTCACTACTGCCATAACTTGGGAAAAATATTCAATGTCTTGCTTTGTCCATGCAGTAGATTCCCCCATTTGAGATTGGAAAATTTGTGCTTCTAACTTGAGACAAATCTTTTTATTGTTATTACTCTTCCTATTATTATTACATATTTTTATTATTGTTGCTATTATTATTATTATTATTATTATTACATTTTTTACAGACAACAGCATACCAAATAATTACTCTTTTTCTCTTTTGTAATTGTCTTAAGAGGTATGTTTTTCTCTCAAACACTTGAATTTAATCATACTCGCTATTTTATGGCAAGCAGTAATTAACATAGTAATAGCCTCACTTGTTTGAATCTGTTAATCAAATACATTCAGGAATTGCAAATCTACTTCATTGCAATTCTTGCCTTAAATGTTCCTTGTGACTGTGCTGACATTACTCCATCTTAGCTCTCGGTTAATCAGTTAACGAGTTTCTATTTCAGTTAACCAATTAACTTTATGCAGTTAACTGCTGCAGTCTTGCAGGTTTTCTAAAAATTTCCACTTAACTAGAGAAAATATTGTTGTTTAGAGTTAGAGCATAAATTGCAATGTTGTGTAGTCCATCAGCTCCCTGCTATTAAGTTTGACAGATATGCCGTGAATGGCTGCAGAGACCATGTGAGCTGTAGCATTGCTAAGTTAATTATGAGCTCTATTTAAAAGATGGGGACCGAGGGTTTGTGGCTTTGAAGCAGAAGGTTTGAAGGTTTTTTTCCCTGTTAACAATGATGTCCTACAGCTGTAAAATTCATGTGGTTCTGTCCCTATGTTCACTCAGCAGGATGGTGCAAAAGAAATGTAGGCTTGAAGAATAACTTCAGAAAAGCCCATTTCAAGTGTTAAAGGAGTGCGTGGAACTGGGATCTCTGGAGCCCTCTG